AACCTTTTAAGGACTTGAAGTTGGGCACAACGTCAAAACCGTCTTCTGAGAATTCCCTTATAAAGTTCGGTATTGCAAAAAATAGTGCCATAGCCAATTGCAAAACCTTGACAGTTTTTTTTAATAGAATTTCATTGGTTTTATACTCAAACCTGATGGTTCTATAAAAGTTTTATACAAAATTATAAAGGTTTTGCAATTGGCTACGAGACCATTTTTTGTACTACCGAACTGAAAAATGGGATTCTCAGAAGACAGTTTTGACGGTGTGCCCAAGTTCAGATCGTTTAAAGGTTCTACGGGATTGAAGACTCGTTTTTTCAATGTTTCAAGTCATTGGAAAGCTACCTGGAACCTACAGAACCTTTTTGGGGGTTCTGTATGACACCTTATTTTACAGTGTAGTGTATCCAGTTTACTGGTCATCGAGTTAACCGGTACTGATGATACTCTTTTAATAATATTCTACTATTTATCAGATTAGATTAATGTTCTAAATTTAATGATATGAAAACACTGGTAGGTATGTATTAAAATTCAGCTGACTTAGAATGTCTCTCAAGTAGAAAGTTAATTCAATAAAGATGGATCATTGAAATGACACTTTTTTTCAACACTAATGGTTTCTCATAATTTAGTCCATCAACAAAGCTTTTTATTTTAATATTTTTATGATTAACACTGATATGTTCAGAACTTTATATATATTGGCGTGCTCAACTATAGGGTACCCCGATTCTTATTTGCTTATATAGTTTTATTCAAATACGCAGAAGAAAATGTGGTTCTTTTAATAGTTATAGTACACATATGATACTAAGGATCGGTTATTGTTTGAGCACCATATCCTACTGGAAACATGGATTAACAAGTGTCTGTTTATAGACTTTTCATTAAAGTGTTTCACATCTAATATTTTGGCGTATATTAGCTCTTACGTGGAAAATTAAAATAACTTAAAGTACACCAATACAGTTTCATTATCACATAATTAGTTGATTAAAAAGATACCTAATTCTTCATCTTCTCTATTTGGGAATAGAATGTTTAATTAAGTTTAGATGAGATAAAGCACAAACAACTTGTGAGGTTTTGCTAATTTTATCAAAATCATCGATAGCTTCTCTGTAAACCTTACCAAGAATAGCATCATTTTTGATACGCTGATTGATATTTTCGATAGCTGCTCTTGCACTGTTGATATCATAATTAAAGTTTTTCCTGCAGTTGTCAATTCCACTCTATGAGGTTTTTTCTTTGGAGTAATGGTATGTTCTTCTCCAACGTATGCATTATCAGCAATAATTTGTACAGAATCGTTCACATGTTTTAATAGTCCTGACTCTCTTAGAATTGTAATATCAAACACACTTTCATGGTAACATTCGGAAACATGCACTAGTCGATGATGAAAATCATAAGCTATTTCTATTTTAAATGCATAATTTGTTGCGCTTTTTGAATGAAAATAAGCTTTAAGTTGTTGTCAATCCTTTAGTTTGAAGAATGGCGATAGAGGTTGAATCAACTATTAACTTATGATTTTCTTCAGGTCTGTGTATTATATCTCTATTATCCATATTAGCTGGTAATGAGACTAGTTCTGGACGTCATATGAATGTAAGATGCTCACAACCTCCGTAAAAATATGATGTATTATAGATGGACCCAAGTATACTTCGATAACAATATAAGGTTTTGAGTGATAATGCTTCAAGTACCACGACGTCACCACAAGTAAATTCATAGTAGATAAAGATGTTGCGTTGACATTGTCTGATTGTTACTTGTTTCTACTCAAGCAATATTTCATAAGTGATTGTTCACAGTTCAAATATAATTGGTCTACTTGTTCAATATCATGTGATGTATGTTGTACACAAGATTCATTAGTACGACCCCATTCAGACCACGAACATTATTCTAATATATGCAAATAAAATAAAATGTGTTACCGATAGTCACTTGCCTAGGATTATGAGATACAAATAATGAAATTAGAAAACATGGATAAACCAGTGGTTATGTATCACTCACCACTATTCAAGATTAGAAGCTGTTGAATAGCAATGTGCTTCTCTTCTATTTCCTATGGTCTGTCTTCGATTTCTGATGCACAATGAATGCACTTATCACGATGCCGAAAAGTGTGTGTATAATTCAAATCTTTCTGAGCCAATACATGCCCAAGTTAACATAGAGCAATAGTTAGTACAATATTTTCGATGATCAGTCTTGATAGATCGACATTGGGAACAACTCTATTCAGCTTGCAGAGCAAACATAATATAAAGTGTAAAGATTTGTATTTTATTGAAAATGTGTTCAAGAAAAGGCAGAACGAACAAAAGCGAGAAAACAAATAATCTTAGTTCGAACACGAATAAAGTGACTGGGACACAAGATACACTAGAATCAGTGAAATACTATTATACATGAAATATATTACCGAGCACGAGATCTACTTTAGGCGGAAAGGAGAAAGAAAAAAGAATACTATTCTCTTAAATATCTTCACAAAACGATAACTTCTGAAAATTCATGTATGCTAAGAGATCAGATACAAAATACTTTCAACGACGTGTCTATAAAAAAAATTTTTGATCCATGTTTCCAGTAGGATATAGTGCTCAAACAATAACCGATCCTTAGTATCATATGTGTACTATAACTATTAAAAGAATTACATTTTCTTCTTCGTATTTGAATAAAACTATATAAGCAAATAAGGATCGGGGTACCTTATGGTTGAGCACGCCCATATATAATCGTCACTGAGTATTTCACTTGACCTGGGGACACTATTAAGAGATGATGTAGAGTCTATCTTGTTAGGCACTAATTTTTAGACGTCAACTGCTACTGTTTGGCATCAAATAAACTAATTTTCTCGATAGGCTAATTTCTTCGCTTATGGACCTCCGTGGTATCAGAGAAAAGTGAAGAGAAACAGGTAACTCAGAGAAATGGAGTCATATTATTCAATGAAGATCACTTCTGAATGGACTCAGAAATATCTCATTTGGTAGCTCTTCTCTCAAACTTTTAGAATCAATCAAGATCCCATTCTATTTTTTTTCTTTCTCGAGATATTGTAAAAATAGTGAGTAGAAGTGAAAGAGATGATATGAGAATTATACCATTTCTGAACTGATCCTATCGAGTCTTTCATCATTTCTCAGCAATGCTTCAACGATTTGGTCTGAAATTTTTACTACAGATATATTACAAGATACACACTTCTTTGACATGCATTTGGATTCGAAATGGCTTATTTATGAAGAACATATATATGTTGCTATTTTATACATGAAATATCCATTTTGTATACCTAGTGCATGTCAGCATTTTGTAGAAAGCTCCATATAGGTGCTATCGAAATGACTTCATTTTGGTATTAAAAGATTCCTTACAAAATTCTGCATTTCTCAAAACAAAAATCAACTCAAATCATTGAGAGTCGAAAAGCGGCTCTTATACGCCCCGGTCCTTTTCTCATTGTAGTGTGCCGATCTCGTTCAGACTAATTACGACTACAGTCAAATACTTGCTTCGCAATTAGATATCTACAGGGTTGCCAAAAATGTTTTGCTCGGGGGTTACAGCTCCAACGACGAATGATATCAATATTGAATTTTATACCAAATGAAAGCCTATCAAAAATGGGGTTTATCCATACGAATGAATAGGGGCTATAAAGACTTTTCTCTATCGAACTTTGATAATTTCTAGAAATGCATGAATCACAGTCATAGAAAAACTTTCTTTTATCATAGAGAACTCAAACTACCTCTGATATAAAAATACTGAATCTAGCAAAGTTATCTTTATTTTTATCATTCATTAAGCCATAAAAAGTAAGGATAATCTTTCTATGTTTTGCAATTTTATATCAGAGGTAGTTTGAGTTCTCTATGATAAAAGAAAGTTTTGCTATGACTGCGATTCATGCATTTCTAGAAAGTATCAAAGTTCGATAGAGAAAAGTCTTTATAGCCCTTATTCATTCGTATGGATAAACCCCATTTTTGATAGGCTTTCATTTGGTATAAAATACAATGTTGATATCATTCGTCGTTGGAGCTGTAACCCCCGAGCAAAACATTTTTGGCAACCCTGTAGAATGCCGGAAGTGAAATCAATTCTATTCCGATTCGACAAACTTAACACAAAATATCAAAACTTCTTTTTTCCTTACTACAATTATATTTCTTTCATTTTATGTTCAATATGTTCGATTAAACACTTGTTCTATCACTCTCATTATTCTCTTGATTATGATTATTTGAATATCATATCGACTACTATTTTCAATTATAGTCAATATAATTGTTTGTTTCATTAACATCGAAAACATAGACACAACTTCAGATATTACTTATGAATATAATTTTTATCGAGTATTAATCAATTTACTTAGTACATTAATAGACAGAAAAAAAATCCTTGAACTACTCACATAAGTTAAAAAATGGATTTTTAATCGCAGTAGAAAATTTTCAGTCATGATGAATAACTTTGAGTCGAAAATTTACATACTATACATTACTGCTACTAGTGCTTTGTTGCGATATTACACTAAGATATAATAGCTTTGTGCCTCAACAAATTATGAGAATCGAATTGAATAACCTAGGCATTATCAACTGTTTCATATCACCTTGATCCAGTGATTAATTTTTCTGACATAGGTTTGTCTACTGAATACTTCATTTAATTCGATAAGTAAGTTTTTGACAGCCTAGAATAAAACAATCACAAATCTAGTGAGAAGGATAACACGAGATAAATCATCAAACTAATATAAAACATACTGATCATCAAATCTAGTTTATTTCAATAGAATTGAATGATCTAAATTAGCTTAGTTAATTGATATGATACTAATATACGTCTACTTCAATAGAAATAATTCTATTTGTACATGTTTTCAATTTTTTAAGAAAATACATTTGAAGCTTTTCGTTTCAAAAAAACAAATAAATTATTCAATTCTGACATTAACCTTTTGTTTTAGTTGTAGATTCAATATTAATTAAAGATGTATCATCTAATGATTGTACAGGTGTTGATACTAAACTAATAGGAGTAGGTGAACAAATAAAATTCGGTGATTCAGAAGCAATATTATCAAGATTAATTATTCCTGGAGAATTTAACACATGACCATTTGTATTTGTTGCAGTCGTTGTATTACTGTTCGTTGATGATTTAATTAATTCATTGGATGATGTTGATGGTGAATCTGTTTTACGAATTGTTTCAATTAATTTAAACCAACCACGCATTTGACCAGATGAATCGACATTTGTCGATGATATTTTTGATTTATCCTAAGAAATTAGACGAAAACATTTAATGTTTAATATGCTGCTGAAAAAAAAAACTAGTTACAATTTGCTGATATTCAGTCGTCATCGTTTTGGATATTTTATTAGTAACATCTATGAATTGAAAAAAAATACAATTCTTAGAAGATGTTACTAAAAGAAAAAAAATCGAATATTAGTTCCTATGACAAATAGATATATCATATCAATTGACAGATATGACAACATTGAGAAGTAAATCAAAAGTTTTCATAGTCACTTTTTTTTCTTTCTTTCTTTTCTTTTCTTTTGTTATTAATTGTTTATTTACTCGACTGAATCCATTTTTTACATTTGACTTTTCTGCAGTAATTCTATTGGATAAATGATTCAACAGTCAATCATTCTTGTTTGTTGATCTCTGGTGGTTGTACAAAGAAAAATAATTCGAGAAGACGAATTATTATTCATCTAATACCGACAGACTTCCTTTTTCTTTTCAAAATAACAATCTAATATAAAATAGTATTTGTTGAAAACTAAACTTGAATTCTGAAGTAATATATTTATATATTCGTATAGATGTCCTTAGTCAACCATCAGAATATTTTATTCCTTCTGTTGAAATGAGAGTAATATGTTGAGCAACTACAATAGTCAAATGTTCGCGTGTTCGTTACATAGAACAACAGAAAGTATGTAAGATCTTCCAAGAATTCTTCAAGATAAAAAACACGAATAGATCTTGAACAGTTCACATGGTTAGCATGAATTTTGGGATAACTTCATTCGATATTCTTTGAAGTTTTATTCAACATAGTTTAAATAAAATGTCTATGCCTATAAACATTAAAATCGAAATAGTTTTGTTGATAACCATTTTTGAGTCACCTACGATTGTTAAATTGATTCTTGAACAGATCAGTCATGTTCTGAATGTCTTGCAACAAATGTTAGAAGAAAAGAAACGATGTAGTTCATATTACTAGTAAAAGTGTGTCGATATGAACTGTTTTGGCTGTTTGGGATGTTTTTTTCTATAGCATTCGGAGTTATGAAAGAACTCAGTAAATAGTTCAACAAAAATGAGTCACATTTTGACTATGACATACATCAATTTTCTAAACATGGGAATTCGAAGAGGTCAATTTTTTCGATGAGTTTCATACTCATTGGACTAAACATCTTTTGAATGCTTTATATGATGACACATGAAAGACAATCTCTACAGGAGGCGTATTAAAAAAATTCTGTTGAATTAACAAGAGGAATTGATGAGAAAAAAGGCAATGGTTTCAAAGAAAATTCTACTTAATGTTTCGTTTTTTAAAAATTTGAAAATAGTGAACTCGTAAGTTTTATTTCAATGTTGACATCTTCAACAGTGCGTGCAAATAAAATTATGTGAAACAAAACTTCAAAGAAAGTCTAATCAAAACTTGTTAGCGAGGCCCCTTATGCGGCTGAAATGTGGAACTCACATATTTCCCAAAAGCTATGATACCTAATCATCAGGTATCTGCAGAAATGGCAAAAGTTAGATGTGGGTCGACGATGTTGCAAAACTTTTCAAAATTTTCTAGCAAAAAAAAAACCGGAATTTTCGAATATGGCGGTGGGGAAAAGATTCGCCTCTCCCTGCTCGAGACATCTCTGTCAACCAAATGTTAAACTCTTTGCTGAGGTCTGTAGTAGGAAGGGCGAGGCCGGAAAATTTGAACTGAAAACTTACATTCACTATTTTTTTCGACAACATATATGAGTTCCACAAAATGATAGAAACTTCATGGATATGTCTTGAATTGTTCAAAAGTTACTCACTCTATATATATATATATGCTTATTGTTGGTTACACAACGAAAGACAGAACGTAGGTGAGGGGAGGTCTCTATTCCACACCAGAGAGAATTGAATGTAATTCTCTTTATTCAACTCAGCAGTAATGCTTTCATTAAGTCTTAAACATGAGCAATAAAGTTCACTCCAGTCTAGAACTTATGCTTTCTCTATCTTGTGCTTTTACAAACTATATCGATCTCTTTGTGTGAGAAGTTTACTATGTCAGCTATAGTTTCTATTCTATTTTAGAAAGGCTAGTTTCTATTGATTTATTTTAAGATAGATAATGTTAGAGGAAGAAAATCCATGCGCAGCTGTTTTTATCACTCTCTTCTCTTTCTACATACCTAGTAGGACTTCCTTATTTTATGCAGCATTTAGAGTTGCCAAGGTTTTGTGCCCTTTTAGTCAATAGATGGATTGAGCTCTATTTATTGGTATGAGGCGTGTTTATTTGAAGATTTATTACTCTATTATATATTCTAATTTGCTAATTGATATGACAACTAATTTGTGTAAAACTGAACTGAAAAACCAAATATCGAAGTTTTCTAATTCAAATGTTATGGGATTGATTCAACTAAGTTTAGAGATTACTAATTGCAGTGCAGATCTGGGAACTGATATAGACTTCGATTGAAATTAGAAGTTTGTACACTCATTTTCCTAATATTCATGTCTTTCTTCAAGCAGATAATATCTATAGCGGCGTTAAATATGCAAATTCAAAAACCAGTACTTTCACCGATCGATAAAAACATTTCTTTTCATAAAACCCAAGTTCTAGCATGTACTGTAGTTCCTCTTTGAAGCTGCCAACTATCTCTCAATCAATAAGCTTAGTATACAGACATACGAAAACTTACCTAAAGTTTTATGTGAGATGTTAATACATTTTACTCATGACAATCAAGGTGTTTAAGGCATGTATGTTAGACGTGTCATAAGACAAAGATGTTAAGGTATTATTCACATATGTTCGTTTTCTTTTGCTCTATTAGGTAGTAATAACTCATGTACTTTTCCAACTGTATTATATTATCTATTGATTTATTCTTCGTATCCCCTAACATATGATATATATACCTATTGTTTCAATATGATACAGAGAGACATAAAGTGATTAAAATCTAATCTAACCGTTCTGATTATCATCATGAATAAACCATATACTTTAAGTACACAACAACGAATATCGGACATCCTAGAAGGCGTTCTTTTTTTTTCGTATGGACCGAATCGAGATCTTCTTATTCGTTTCGGCCTCAGGGTCTACACTTAATTTCTTCAACTAATATAGAGTATTTGGACATCAGCGGATGGCTATCTCTACAATATTTAGTTTTAATTGATTTCCACGTGCGAATTGGATTTATTGTTGACTAAACATGCATGCAGTTACAGCATCAATAGATTTTATCAAGTCTTCTGCATTCGTTAGCTCTAATGTTTCTTTGTTCGCCTATCTTTATTTCACATTTGCCTGTATCAAATGAGACATTATTCATGTATGTTACCTTGACATGAAAAGCTGTACTTAATCTAGTAGATCTATGCCTAACAAATAAATAAAATACTTTTATCATCCTTCAATCGAGCGATTACAAAAGCTTTTAGTTCTTTGTTATTACAACTGTTGTTTGGCATACCGCATACTCATTATATTGATAACAAATAGAAACGAGGGTAGTTGAAAAGTAAAATCGACCTCCAGTTGCAAGTCGACTTTGTCCTTTACATTATGTTGTTTTTACTGTCAAACATAAACTACAATTGAAACTAGGTCATTTCATCTTTTCCAGATTTTACCAGAATCAATTTATCTACCTCTATTCTATCAATACTATATGACCCCAAAAAAAAACACGTGCATAGAGTCGTTTTATGAGAAATATCGTACTTTGCCTGAAGGCAAAAATATCAATCAAATCTTTTTTCATTTATTAGTCATTTGCGAAAAAAGATTAGGCACGTACACATGCAGCTTAGGGCACTCTTTATTAAAATATTAACTGGCAAACAGACGAAAGAAAATACAGCCCAAAAGGTTCCTTTTCATCATTACTCTCTAATGCGGTGATAAACAACATGATTATAGGCCAAGAGAAAGAAAAAAAGTTGTCCCGAACAACAATATTCTTTTCTTTCATATATTTACTCATTCACATTCGTACCTTTTCTCCTACGCAGACTTACATGACGGTAAAATAGATTGACGGTATCAATAATTACGGTGAGAAGAATTTTTCATACATCTATTACATACATAATATCCAGTATAAGTATCTGATGTTGTATATTTCATTCCCAAAATTACTCTATTACCTTTTCTCTGAAAGAGAGGATTTACCAAGTAAAAAAAAACATTATTTATCCAATCAAAAAAAAAATGAGCAATCATCAATCACTGAAAACTAAATTATGTTTTCTGAGACCAAGCCTGACATGGCATAATCGAGGTGGAAGTTCGAATCTAATGTCAGTTTGCAGAAGTCATGCAGATAATTTTGCGATTAATAAGCGCTACTGGCACATTCTGTACACAGGACTGGAAATTAAATGCAATAGTATTTGAATAAACTGTGAATGATGTATTGTTAAGATGGTTGCAATGCCATTATTTGCTCATATGCTCTATTAGCAGTGGTTCATTTATACAATTCTTTGTCTAATAATTTTAATGAAAGAAGACGCAGTTTCTGATAAGACTATCAAAATTGATGAACAATTCGTGTTTCTTCATACGTCATTTAGCGATCACAAGTCAGACAGTTTTCGTAAACTATTTTGAGAAATTATCACGCACTTTTAAAGAAAGTTCTGATGTAGTTGATGGCAAGCCCACATGAATAGTAGTTATCCATCAATTATGGAAGTTGAAATGTACAAGAATGAAAATCATGACATAGGTATTCTTTTATACTCAGAAGTCAATATTGGTCTATGCTCAGTTTGATATTGTGAGAACCTAATTCATTGGAAGGAACATTGACCTCTCTTTTTCCAAAATCATAAAAATTCTAGTTTGAGTGAGATATGATAGTTAATGAATTTCAATATATCAAGCGAAAAAACATAGACGCTTTCTCATGGACTACCCAAGGAAAAATTTTTATACGAATACCGCGGTTTCATCGCA